TTTTTCTCTCCAAGGTACAAAGGCATCACCGTTGAAGAAAAAGAGTGTATCAATTAAATTGCAATGCTGCATTGGATGTATGAGACTTGAAAATAGCAAGAGAGTTGAAGGCAATTACAGAGTTTATTTAAATGAAAGGAATATCCAGAAGCATTATTTTAAAAGATTTGTATTACAGTCATGAATTTTGGTGAGCTTCAATACAACAATCTTGTAGTCATTAAAACATATGTATATTTCTATAATTTTTTGCTACCTCATGCACAAAGCCCACAGCTTCTGATTCTTCACTGGGCTCACAGATTTGATGAATGATGCAAACCCAAAATTCTGCAGTTCGATGTAGTCAACTGGACTATGAGATTTCCTTTGTGGGAACAAGATTGTAATAGCTGCTAAGTGTCTCTAGGAAAGAAGGCTGCACTTCATCACTTGTGAATGGTACCTTCTGTTTTTCAACATTGTTTACATACATATTATTTGGCTGCATACAGATGGAAAAGCAAAACTATTTTCTTCTTCTTTGTCTTGTATTTGCGTCAGTCTGTTATAGTGACTAGCTCATAGTGAGGAAGGAAGGGGAACCTAAGACAAGACTTGGCTACTAACAATGGAGACAAGGCTGCATGTCTTGTGAACAGTCAACCAGATGCAGAATAATTCTGGTTTTTCTATGGCAAGCCTTTGTAGCCAGGAGCCAGATACTGATTTTTTTTTTTTTTCCTCTCACTTCTCTATTACTTACACACAGGCAGTTGAGTACCCAGCTGCTGAATGATTTCTGTGTCTGTAAGACTCTTTTATGCCCCTGGTTTGAGATGGCATTCAGTAACATGAGGAAGTTTTGTCCCTGAGCCTCTTAGAGAAATTTGACAATGCTTTTACCCATGCTGAATCTTGAAATAAGAACTAATAAGAGGAGGAATTTGCTGTACATCATGCCATATGTATACATCAAATCAGAAAGTATTTGTAGAAACTTCATGGAGGAATTTTTTCCATTACCTATTGCTCCAATGAACTGTTAGCACCTACCAGCAGCCACATAGTTTTTGAACAAATAAAATTCCAGTTTTTCTGAAGTTTCTTACAGATGACCACCATCTTCTTTCCAGAAAGAATTTCAGTTCCTGCCGCAACCAACTGAGCTCTGGTAATAGATACAAACGTCCCTTTGGCTAAGCCATTGAAGTTTACTGTTTTGGGTTTTTTTAAACCAAACATAAACATCATGACTTCCTGTTCTCCTGAGCAATATTCAATTTACATACACTAATTCTGAGTGGGAAGAAAATGGAGCTTATTTTGCCATTTACTGCCACTGTGGGATGCTGATTGCCAAATCATAGCTGTTAGCAGTTCTGTGCCTAGATTTCTCCTCATCTTTTGATAGTCCTCTTAAGTAATTTTGCAAAGTAAGCTGGCATTTTGAGAGCTTAGTGTCATTCCAGAATGATACCTGAGGGATTTCCAAGTGCCTGACTGGCGTATTTAAAAAATGTTTTCAATTTCCCACTTGCATTTTAAGTTTCAGTGTTTCCAGAGTTTTTTAATCGAGCATCGAAGTGGCTGATAGCTTGATCTGCTGGGAACTGTTGTATTATTTAAAACTTACTCCACTTGAACTGTTTCCTTTCTCATGTCATCTCACAAAGATCTCTATGACTAGCCATTGGAACTGATGCCTCAGCATGACGCTTGAATACACAAGGTTCTGAAAATGTTTTTAAAATGCAAACACACCAATATTGCATAATCTCATACTGTAATAGCCCCCATTCCACTTGTCAGTTACAGAGGTGGTGTGCTAAAGAGAAAGATAACATCTGCCAGGAACACTGTTAATAGTACTTTGGTTAATGACTTTGTGCAACCCTCAATTCACGGAACTGAGTCAATATATATATGCCTTTCTAGGATTTTAGGCTGAATAAAGGGGGTTTTTTAATCATAACTTTTAGTATTTCCCACTTATTTTCAGTTTTTCTAAAAGCAGAAATTATTTCTTTTACATTTTCTAAATGCAAGCTCTGCGAACAAAAGCACATCCAGAGTTTTGCTACAGTAGTCAAAAATGCTCAGTACTAAGTTTTGCAATTTTCGAGCAAGCACGTGAAGCAGAAAAGTTACTAATACATGCATAAAGATAGCTACTTCAAAACTGCCCAGTAATTATGTGATTAGTCGAAACTATTTTGTCACTAGATTGTCCATCATACACAAGAAACATTACTTGCCCAAATGGGAAAATCCGAAGTTTACATTCTCAATAAAACATAACACCAGGGTACATATACAAAACCAAACACAGAGGTTAGAAAATGTTACTAATGACTAAAGATGTTTATGCAGTTTCTCTTCTGTAAAGGTGTCGCATGGCAATGTCGAGTCATTTTATCGCATGGCAATGTCAAGTCATTTTACTCAACTTCCACCCAGAGCTCAGTTTAGCCAATAAAGGATCTTTTACAGATAAACCAAGTAACTCCATTCTTGCTACAACAACTTACAGTAAAAGAGAAAATATAAATTGTAAAATGTACATGTAAGCAAATTAAAAAGAAGAAACACCTCTCACCTTTCCACAGAAGCTCTAAAAAGAGCAACCAGAGCACTACCCCTACAATTTTTCAAGTTGTTTTTAGTGAAAATCAGAGCATCTGTATAAGGTGTTACAGTTAGCTCCAACAAATAAGGGAAGTAACCTTTTCTGTATCATTTTCCTTGACCTTTGAGCTGCATGCATAACTAGCTTTTCACAGGAAGATACATCTAGCTCCCAAAATTACATGCTGTAACTAGTATGTTCAATCCTCCAGTAAGTGGGAAACAAACAAAAGTCAAGGAATACTGACAGCTCTTTTAGTAAATATATGTGGAACTGTGGAAATAATAATTTTGGGACGTGGACTGTCATTACTAATACACTCTGAGACTATTCTACTTTAAAATAACCACTAGAAAATTCACTTTTAAACTCACTTAAATATTGCAGAGATTTAAATGACATTTCTTAAAACCAAAACCAAAAAACCCCAATGAAAAACCCTGTAGCCAGTAGATGGTGCTACATTCAAGCAGTATTTCAAAAATATGCCATCACATTCTGTGTGCCATCGAATTATTGCTTACTTACTTCAATCATTTCTAAACAGGGAACTATTTAAATTAGCATTTGTTCTGGCCTGCTCAGAAACACCAATTACAGGTCTCCCTCACTGACTGCTCCTGGTCTCATGCTCCTAGTGATGCTAGTATCTCTTTTAGCTTCTCATCACCATTATTGTCACTTTTGGCTTTATTAGTAGAAGTCAGTCTTTTTATGAACAATACTGAGATATTATGCCTCTTTGCATTTACATTCTTCTGCTCATTTACTCTGAAATCTTGGGTCTGAGGCAATAAATTTTTTTCCATTCACTTCCCTGCAACCAGTATGTCATCTAAGGTATTCAACTTAACTCCTGATTTTCTAAATTATGGTGTGATTATTATAGTGAACTGTGACACAGACGTAGAATTTCATCATCATAAATTCTACTCCAGAGCCGTTGATGAAATCATCTTGTTCCATGCGCAAAAACCACATTTTTCACCAGCATGTCTGAAATATCCAATGTATCACAGCAAAAGCAGCACAAAAACCATACACTCCTCTTACTCTGTCCCCTGCCCAGGCAACAAAACCTGCACAACACATGTCCGTAGCAGATTTCATCTGAACAGCCTCCAAGCCTGCAATAGCCTCCAAAGCAAGTGCAGAGGAAGGCTTCTCAACTGCACAACACAGCAATTGCTGGTAACAGAAAACAGGAGTTTCATGAACTATACCATTGCCTTTCATTTGCCCTCCGTATGCTTAGGTTCTCTCTTTTAGAGAAGGTTGGTAACTGAGAAGACCCCATTTCCTTTGCTTCTTGTCAATGCTCGGTGGCTTGTAATCCGTGGAGAAACATGTCCATGTAAATCACTCTGCCTATGAAAGCTACATGTTCTGGTAAGGGAGATTATACACAGATACAATGTTACTCCATCAAATGGATTAAAATAATACATAGGCAAATGGATTAAAGTAATGCATAGTTAAAATTCTTTCACCAAAAATTCCAGTTTCACTTAGAAGACAATGAAAATCAATCTCTCTCAAAAAAAAAAATGATTTGGGCATCATTCAGAAGTTGACTGATTCAACTTGCATGTTTTGGCAAAACCTGCTTCAACTGTAGCCTTCAAGAAACAGCAGGGATGAGACATGGGACAATGAACGTAGGAGTCTCAGTCCAACCTGCAGCCCCTTCAAAAGGCTGCAAAACCTAAATGAGGCCAAACTGGAGCACATCCAGAAGATAGGCCTCAGCATCCTCCACACAGGTGGTTTGTGACAGACACAGCTTTTCCTCACTGCCAGTCTGCAGCCTCCCATTATATTGCTCCTGTAACCACACAGTCTTGAATAGGAATGAATCATCAGTGTCTACATCTCCAGAAGGGAGATAAACACATTTCCCTATCTTACTGGGATAAGGAAAAGAAATAATTGGAAGTTGAGAGATGATCAGATAATATGATTGTAGAAGTATTCAAGATAAGAACTCTTTTAGAGTATCAGTATGGATTAAGCTTTTAGAAAGTAACAGTGGAACTGTCAGAATAAGTACTGTGTTTTGTGGTTTTTTTTAATACTGCTTAACTGATCAAGATCCAAATCTGCTTGGGGGGGAGGGGCAGGAAGCATACATAAAGCAATAACCAGAATTTTAATACGATGCTTTGCAGTTTGCTGATGTTCCAGAAAGAGGCAAACTCCGCAAGTTCCCTCTTGCAACTGTGTAATTTTATTAAAGGTAAATTATACTTGAACTAACATCCACTTCTGATAAGCTGAATTTAGGACGTTTTGTTTCATGTGCTTTCTAAAAACACATCATTAATATAATGCAATAATTCTAGTCAAAGCGGGGCGGGGGGAACGAGAAGAGCATAGATCTATTCTAAAGTACTTTATTTGAAGAGTAAATTTTATTTCAAGGTCAGCTGTATCAACCAAGACATAATACTTTTGCTTACGAAGAAAAATGAGAACAGAAGAAAATGTGTGCCATACACTACACACACTTGGATACTTTTAACAGCTTTGTTACAATCAGCAATACTTTTCTTTCATACAGAAAAGCGTTTACTTAATATAATGAAGACAAAAAGCTACCTGAAATCAATTAGTTACCATGTTTGTTTTAAGGTCCCCCACTGCTGCAGACTTTGTCTCTGTATGAAGAGTTACATGAAGAAAACTGCAGCTTATCTTTGCTGAAATTGCTTCATTCCTTCCTTTTCTTTGTACACTGTAGACCAGAGTACGGCAGTCGACATCTGCACACGTTTGGAGCTATGCATTTTCCTCCATGTTGACAAGGTAGTTTACATAGAGCTGAAATGAGACACCAGATACATAGTGTGTCTTCAGCACAACACAGGAACATTTTTCTTCTTTGTCTCACTGTGCTAGCAGAATTGTTCCCTGATGACCGCACTGGGACAGTATAAACAAAAGCATAATGGAAGAACTGAAAAGCAATGCCTCTCAATTTATGGTATTGTGGTCTTCACTGGAATACAGCCACAGTACATCTAGTCTTATTCATGCTCCATTCCCCTTTTAAAATACTATCATTTCTGTTGTTCTTTAAGGCATAGGCTATTTTTGAGATGGATGCCTCCATGAAAGTGAGGGAACAATAACAATTCCTAACCAGTTCTTGGATCCACATCCATGAGGAAACAGTTGCCACATACTAGCTGTTGCTCACACACTGCCCTTCTGTTCCCCAACTCCCCCAAAAGAAGAGCAGAGAAGGACTGAGCGGGCACAGCTTTAGTTGTCCCCTAGCTACACACCAGTTCAGGTAACAAGCCAGTTGCTGTAATTTGCTTATGAGCATCTGTACCAACAGAAGTCAAACTGGATGCAGATCTAGTCAGTTCAGGAACAGTGATTATTTTGACATTAAGAACCTGAACACTTCCATCATTATTGCTGGTGCAGGGAATGGAGCTAAGCGTTTTGTAAGTTCTCTGTGTCTCCCATTACCTTTTAATATCACCCTCTACCTTGATACACTGATGAATACAAAAGCTAAGTGTTTTCCAGGTCAAATGGGAATGTTAAAATATTATTTGTTAACGTTTGCTTGACTATATATATTGCAGAAGAACTAACACTAGCTGATTTGGATACCCACAGGCACACAAAAATTTCAAATGCAGAGGACTTAATCCTGAGGCCTTGCACTCATGATATCCAGTTCAAAAGCAAATGTTTAAATGAGCTTTCTCTCAGTCTCCCAGAGAGCAAACAAAAAAACCTTTCCTTTTTATAGTCACAGCCTCTAGCATCAAGGCAGTGCTGTCATGAGCGTACAAGGCCCTGCCAGAGAAGGGTAGATTAAAGTTTTTATAATCATCATCTGCTTTTCTGAATCAAAATTTGGGAAAATACAAGTGGTGGTTCAGCAAGAATGTCAGTCAGTACTAATCCTGATTACAGCCAGCTTCCTCTTACTCTTTTACGAGCACCTGGAATTGATTCTGCTGACTTATCCTCAAAGTGAGAAGCAAGTTTCAATTTTCCATGTCCATAAAATTTAATGAAGCTTCCAACCCACATCAGTAGTGATAGTGTTCCTGTAGTGGCCATTTTTGGTTTTTTATACTGGGGTCTCAGTTTATAGAAAATATTTCAGAAATACTGACAAGACACACCAAGTAATGAATTTGGTGACAACCAAAATCTGAATCTGAATTTACTTAAAGTGGAAAAGTTCTGTCTTTCTGACCAAATTGAAAAGCCATCTATTCCTTGTGCATACTTGTAAGATCTTCAGTATGCAGAAGCAGCTCTCATTTACTATTCTAAGATACTTTCCTAGCAGGTTTGTTAGGCACTGAAGATTTGAACACTATATTGGTAAATCAAACAAGTAGAGAAAAGGATAAACGAAAAATGTCAGAAGTCATTTACCTAAGTGACATGCTCCACCGACCCATCCAGCTGGACAGCTACAAATCCCAGGAGCCACACAAGCTCCATTATTCCGACAACCTTGGGGACAAATTGCTAGAAGAAAAGAATGGGTAAGTCAGCAGGATTTAGAAAACTGATACAAAAGAATCCTGACAGAATGAAAGGTTCAGGATGATACAAATCAAAATGGCAAAACACATTTTCTTCCGGGCCAGATACTCAACTGGTATAACTCTAAAGGCATTTCCAGGACCATGGAAATGGGAAAAAAACCCTTATGTATTGTGTTAAGAATTTTGGTTTAAATATTAACAGATGTACACTTTAATGCAAAATAATTTGACGCTATTTTATCTGAATATATACCAATAATGTAGGTCGTTCATTTCTGTAGTAATGCAATGCCATTTCCATAGTTAGTAGCCTCTTAATACTTTTAAAATGTTTTTGTTACTGCAGTTATATTTTTAATCAATATAAATATTTTCATGAATGTAGATACCCACCTTCTTGGCATCTTGATCCTGTCCAGCCAGAAGCACAAAGGCACTTCACAACTCCATTGACAGAGATGCATTCCCCACCATTTTGACAGCCTCCTTCACAGCTTACTGCGGAAGAACAGCATACACAGTGCATTTCAGAAGTGGCATAGGACTTCAAATAATTATCTTTAAACAGCCAGTCTACCATCAACTACTTGTTTTATCACATCTAAATTTCAACTATTCAGAGCAAGGCACGGTTCTATAAGGAATGAGTGAGAACGACACAACCACGTCTGCAAATGCCAACTGAAAATGCAGTTAAAATTAAGCATGCACTTAAAAGCTTGTTGAGCATTTAGCCTGAAACCACCAACAAACATGTTTATCACTATGGCACAGCTCCTCCCCTCCCCAGCTGTGAACCAACCGTTCATCAGCTACACCACTGTTTATCAGCTACATTACCGTAACTACTAACATGCATATTCTTATTGATCTTGCCAAATCACAGCTGGTAAGCCAGTAACATGTGGTCAAGGATTCACATATTTCCTTACCTGACAAGACCTACACATAACAAGAGGAAGAAGAGAAGGGGATATTACTTTGACAAGTGAACCCATGACCATATTCAAGTTGAGTGGTGCCTTCCCAAAGGCCAACTATCTAAGTCAGCCTCCTCATTCCAGAATCGTTTCACACATCAAAGCTCTGAAGGCCTCATTCATGAAGCATCATTTATGGCAGACATATGATTGGTATCAACTGTGGTACGCACCATCTTTGAAATATCAATATGGCATTATCACTGTTCTGTACAATCAAATGCATCCTTTCACAAGCATGAATGTAAATGTATATACCACCTTCACTGTACTGAAAAGAAACAACTATCCTTCACTATAACGATGGACAGTTGGGATGTCTGCTTGATACTTGGTAGAAAAAAGTCCAAATCTCTGTTCTACCACAAGTTTTGAGCATGATTTTCAGCTAACAGATTTTTGGCACAAATGCTGAACATGCAAGGACATGCAAGTCAACTCCAGGACAGCTACAAAAGCTCTTCAAAGCTTGTTTGCATAGTTCTTTGTCACACAGTGTAAGTTAATGTATTTAATATTGATTGTCTTCGATCGATCATGGTGACTGGGAGAAGTGCCTGAAGACCGGAGGAAAGCAAATATCACTCCAATCTTCAGGAAGGGCAAGGGGGACCCAGGGCACTACCGGCCGGTCAGCCTCACCTCAATCCCTGGTGAGGTAATGGAACAACTGATCCTGGAAACCATTTCCAGGCACATTAAGGACAAGAAAATCATCAGGAATAGTCAGCATGGCTTCACAGTGAGGGTGACCAAGCACTGGCACAGGCTGTCCTGAGAAGTTGTGGAGTCTCCATCCTTGGAGATATTCAAAAGCCACCTGGACATGGTCCTTGGCAACTGGCTCTAGGTGGCCCTGCTTGAACAGGGAGGTTGGACGAGATGACCTCCAGAGGTCCCCTCCAACCTCAACCAGTCTGTGATTCTGTGTGATTCTGTAATAGCACATTGCACCACACTGCAAGTTTGTACATCCAGGCTCCATATGCCACAGTACTCCACCTTAAAGGTGAGCACAAGCACATCCTTTGCCTTACAGGGATAACATGATAATAAAAACAAGTAGGACTTTTATTCAGATACAAATCCAAGTCTAGACTGTAGCATTAGCATGAATTGAATCCTCACTCTGCTTTTTCTATTTAAGTAGTAATTCTTACCTTGCTGCTGATTTAGGCTCTTCTGAGAACATCAAGTTCCCCTTTCTTGTGGGGTCCCTGTAAGACCCCACAAACCTACACTTTCAGTTGGCTTTTAAGAAATTTAAAAAAAAAAAAAAAAAAAAAAATCCTTTTGCTGGAAAATGAAGCTGACCATGCTCCAGTTTACCTCATTGCTGTCAACACTGTTATGTCTACTCAAAATGAATAGTTATTTCCTAATGCATTACACAACAGTACTGTGTTATACAGATCTTCATTAGAAGATGTCCACCTTTTTTATTCCTCTATAATGTTAATAATTTTGATTATCAAATTATTACCACTGGCAGTTGAATTCCCATTCAGTCTAGTTAACATCCCAGAACTACAGTTTCAGCTTACAGAAGCTTCTGCAAACTTAGACAGATGTTACCACGTTAGGTACACTCAGGTCATGCTTTCTTCATAAAATACCAAATGCAGCTTTATTAAAAAATAAAACAAACAAACAAAAAAAAACAAACCCAGACAACCGAACAACAAGAGTCCAGAGAGCTGCAGAAGCTAGTCAATTTCCTTCCCCAAGTACCCATTAGGTTAGACTCCAAGTAAACTCTTGTAGCTATTTCATATTTGAAGGAAATAAAGAAAATGCCCACAGAATAAACATCAAGCATAAGTAGAGAAGCCTGTGAGATGTTGCTAGCTGCTGTGACCACAGTCAGACAGAATGCTTATTAAGTTCTCAGCACAGCGATGACTGCCCAACTAATTTACCAGCGTCTGTTCAAAACGAACTTCTAGAAGTTTGTTAAGTGCCAGGTTGAGGCTTTTCTTCTGAAAGGAAAACAATGCTTTCTTTTCCTTCAGTCTATGGGGATCTCTCGCCTACTACATCATTTTCCCCTCAAACTATTTCAAGTTTGCTTCCCCTTTTATCCCAGAACTCAAGTTATCATCAGCAGTCTGATCAGTTCGTAACAACATAACAATGTTTTCTTGGATTGCCTTTTCCAATCCATGCATATATTCAATAGGCTTCACAAAACCATAAAAATTGGTCTTTGCTACTCCTCATCTCTGTCATCTCCCATTACCTATCAACAATACATTGCCACGCATATCTTTAGCGACTTGCCATCAATAGTACCATCTTGCAGATACTACACGAAAGTTTCAACCACCTAATGCAGAAATATGTATCTATACAAATCATCTCATTACATTATTTAGAAAGAGTCTGTTATAGAGCTAAACAGCATATTTACATAACACATAAACAAAGTATTTTCCAAGGGACAAAATTCTCACAGCACATTTCAGTACATATACTCCACCCCATTCTCCTGTAAGCATGCTGATCCTCTAGGCCATGCATTTTTTGACAGTAAAGTCAGAGGTCTAAGGAATTAAGGTCATTATTTCAAAGTGCATTATATCCTGGGCTTGAGGAGTCCCAAATTAATTTCATCTGTTTTCAAACTCCTTGTCTTTCCAAGCTATCGCTTGTTTGGGTCTTACCTTTATGACAGTATCTACCGCCATAGCCAGGTGGACATCTGCATTTTCCAGGTCTGAGACACTCCCCACCATTTTTGCACTTTGGATAACATGTTGCTGTAAGACAGACAACAAACAAAGCTTGGATAAATATTGATGAAGCTTACCAATATTATTACTAAAGTACATAAAAAATTCCCAGTCTCTGAGTACTCAGTTTATCTTCACATTTCCTAAGATATATTTGCCCTGCTGTCCTACATCGCTGATCAGGTGAAATAGTTTCCCTGCACAGAGAGCACTCCACCATTTTAAGCTTTTACACACTCAAACTAAGGAAGCTTTTGGACCCTAGACAGAACAAGCAGAAGAAAGAGCCATATTAAAAGGGAACAAATGAACACTGCTGGACTGCCAAAAAAGCTTTGATAATTGAAGTCAAGAAATGACAGGTGAGAAAAGAGGTGATATGATGAAATGATTTAACAAAAAATGCTGCAACTTCAGGGGCATCTTCTGATTCTTAAGATGAAATATCAGACTTCGCTCTTTACTGGAGTCCTACATACCTCTCCAGATAAACTACATGCTCTTTTCCTGTACCTCTTCTCTAAAATGTCTCCAGAACTAAGTCAGCACCTCCTGCACCCTCTTTTTTTGCCTCAGCTGGCCTCTCAGAGACCCTTCTGAAACATACAGTGTTTGTTCAGAAATCATCTGAGACAAATGTAACTTTTGTCATAACTGTAATTATCTGTTGGGAGAAAAGCATCTATGATCATCTCATACTCTGCAACTTTTTCATTGCTGACAGCTTGGACAGGTTGGATAAGGCACAAATAAAAATCTTCATTTTGCAAAATTCTGGGTAAGTTCAGTCAGATTGAAAATAAATTACCTATCGCATAGCCCTCCTTGCTACTCATAAATCATTCCTGAATCAGCCCTGGTGTCTGAGAAAACATTTGTTTATTCACACACAGATTTTAGAAACCCATGTGCTTCAAAGAGTTTCATCTGAATTAACTGCAGGTGTGAGATGAGTTCTCTACACCCCATTGCTTTATCCTTTGACTGGATGGGTGAGACGTCTGAAACAGAGGGAAGAAAAGGGAAAAGACGAGCAGTGAGTAATGCCACATTTATTTTGCACTCTCAAGCAACCCAACTGAATAATAGGGGATTTTTCACATTAGTATCTGCAGGATGAGTATGTGCATGCAAATAAAGGACACAGACATGTATGAAAGAGCCATTCAGCTCTCAGCTCTACATAACTGTTTTACCAGATGCTTTCAGTTCATTGGAAATGCCATACAAGAGCCCTCAATTCAAGAAAAACTTTATTTCTGTGTTACTTCATATAGTTTTCAGTTCAGTTTTCTTGACAGAACAAGGGATGAAGCTTCATTTATCCCAATTTTCTTCTACATTGATGACTTTATCAGAGCAAGCACTCAGTGGTTCCTTTAACAATTCCAGAGAGTTCACCTCTCTAGTTCAAAAATGGATCTGCATCTCCAACAATCTTTCACATCTCCCCTAAGCCCGAAAATGTCTAGGATCCAACAGTTGTTTGGAATAGTGCATACAGCATAGTTAGTCATCCCCACTACGCAGCACATTAGCTACACATCATTTGTCACCACCTGCTAGCCTTAGCTTCTAAATAAAACAACGCTCCATGAATGATTACAGTGCTGAATGAAATTTTCAGCATCCCATTTCAGAGCTTAAAAAAAAAAAAAAAAAAAAAAATCATGTTTTAAATGAAGGGCATTGAGAACTAGAACAAATATTATACAAATTATACCACCTCTTCACACAGAACAACATGTGAAGCAAAAGAATTCCTGATATTGAGTGATTTTTAGCAATTAGTAGCCACAATGCTCTGCAGTTAAACTTTTGAAGAAAGGAATTAGAAATCGGGCATGTTACATTAAACAGGGTTTAAACTAAAACTCTTCTCCCCAGTGTTTACTTTTGCATATTGGGTGACATTTTCAAAAATGCTTTGTCTCCCCTTGGAAACGAACAGGAACAGATTTCAGTTCACCCTAGCTTTACGCCTCCTACCATGGAAATGGGATGTACAAATGACTCTGTGGGTCAGGTAACACGTAGGAAGTAAATTCCAGTATTTTTACAAGCACAACATATTCTAAGTAAACAAGAGATGCAGAAAATAAACTGCTTTCTACACACTTTTTTGATCTTTTCGTTAGTACTATTCTCACTAATCACACCTAGAAATACCAGTTTAACGTTGCTGAGGCTCAGAAAGCCGTCAAGCCTCTAAAAGCATCATTCCTTACTCAGGCAAGTATTTAAACATGCACAGTGAAAATGATAAAAGGAAGCTGATGCAGAAGCCTGTCCACTAAGTGGATGTCTACCCAATGTTCAAGTGGTAAAACGCTATCTCCTGACAATACAGCCTTTTCTGATGGCTGGGTCTACTCACCTACGTGAGTGTCTTCATAAAGGAGCTGGCTCTTGGTTGTGCTCTACCAGTTTGCTACCATTGCCTCGCCTCACCAGAAACTGGGTGTCTTTACCCCTCTTCTTCCGCCGCACCTTACTTACGTCCTCCCCGGCATCTAACCGCCAACCTCACTCCGGATCCAAACCCGAGCTCTCCTGCTTGCAGAAGGCCTCCCAGAGCTCACGCACAGGTACTTGCGCCCAGCCCTGCTCAGGCCGAGACGCCTCCCCAGGGACCACCACCTACGAAGAGGTCCCCACAGCCGCGGGCAGGCGACGC